ACCATAGTGGCAGAGTGAGCTTAAAGTAACAATTGGATCGCAACCATTACCAATTGAAGGAGTGTGAAACATTTTCAGGGTAAACCATAAACTAGATGTATGATATAGCATCATTAGCATTGCTGTTTATGCATGAAACCTGTTGCAACCCTTTTTGATCCAGGTAAAAGTTCGCAATTTCTTATTGAACAACTAAAAATTCACGAAAGGTAGCTTGAGCTACCTGAGTTCTCCTTGCTTTAGCAAAAATGTATTACAATCAGGAGTTGGGATTGTGCATTGAATTTGGTCCTGTAAGAGTTGATTCAAATCCCCCCTGCGCCGGTTCACGCCGTCGTGGACTTCTACCAGGGTTACTTGTGATTGCCTGCTACCTTTCGTTCACCCCCTCCTCTCTCAAGTTAACCCTTAGCAAAACTGAGGACGGCACCTAAATGTAGTTTACAATGATTCCCATCGCGGATTTGAGTTGCCGTCGTTTGGTCACATGATTCAGCGCGTCCTGACAGATCTGAGTCACCACAGTACACTGCCGCTCATAGTCACCACTTTTCCTTCCCCTCGTTGTGTGCACAGTTTGTGCATCACACGACCCAACACATGTTTTAGTGCTGTTTTTGTGGAACAACGTCATCACTTTATGATTCATCTGGATTGGCGCTGGCCGTGATTCACCATGCGCCAAACCATTTTCTACGTGGCTGGCGGCTCGGTCTCCAATCCGCAGCTGCTGCGGGCGGTCCGACGTTTTCACGTCTTCGTGTCTCTCGTCCGACTTCCATGGGTTTGCAGGGTCTTTCTGCGTCGCGTCGGCGTCGGCCTTTTTGGAACGGACCTCCAGATGGGAGCGAAACGCGGAAGCCGTGTACATCTGGAGCACATGTCCAAAAATAACTGGCCTGCTGAAGTGTTGGGAACAAAAATCGGTGCAGCAGGAGAACTGCTTACCTTTTTTCATTTGATTCTTTTACAGTTTATTGTTCTTGAAACCCATTTTTTCCACTTGTTTCCCTTGTTTAACCTCAACAGGTGCTGTGATCGTTTCGTTTTTCATGTCGCAGAGGTACGGGTGGTCTACCACCCGGCAAGTCTCATCGGGTGGCCGAGGAACGTGGGGTTCGACCCGAATCGGGGCGGTCTGGAGGTCTTTAACAGCTGCGTTGGTCGTTTTGGGAGGGATGGTGCGTGGTTTCGCATTGGGATTGCTTCAAGCGTTGTTTTTGATGAGAGAGATGGCTCAACGCAGCAGTGAAAACACACAAATTATCCCAACAGACGAAGCTTTGGATGCCACCAAAAAAGTTGTTCCCTCAAATCATAGCACGCCCAACATCAAGCATTGGAATTGGACCTGGCATTCATCACTCCATCCGCTCCATTCGATGACCATATTTTACTGCTGTGGCAGACGTTGAACTTCATCCGATTCCACCTTCCACCTCTACTGTTCTTCATTGATTGAAGAACAGTATGTCACGACGTTCACCGCTTGACTCCACTCGACGTCCACGACGTCCACGACCTCCATGGCTCCACGGAGTCCACGGAGTCCGACGGAGTCCACGGACGGAGGTTGGAGGCGAGGAGACGATCCGATTGAAGTCATTTTGGAGGTTGGGAGAGGTGTTTTGCCTACTGTATGCGGGCCTACTGAATGGTTTGGAGGACAAGTGGTTGTTTGTAGAAAGATGTCAGTGACTTGAACATGATGGTTTATCTTCAGGAACTTTTTAGGTCAATCATATGAATGAGTCTTGATTGAACCTGAGCTGTGTAGTCACTTAGTCGATTCAGCATTTCTGCAATCAGCAACAGAGTATCAGAGTGCTGAAACGACGCGTCACCATGTTCCAGTGATGCAGCTTTGGAGGCAGTGCCAGCAAGCAATGACCGCTTCGAAGACCCATTCGAGACTTCGTGGCTGGCAGTTGTGCCCTCTGGCCGGAAGCATTGGAAGAGAGCTTCAGCCCTTCGGTGCCAATCCGTCGCACCGACCGTAGACCGCAGACCGTCGCGGACGTGCCGCGGACGTCGCGAGTCTTTGTGGCAACTCTGTGAGCGTTTCTTCACCTCGTGTCTGCCCCAATCGTTTGTGACTGGACATCCATGTTCCATTGTCTCTGGACATGGGCCTCATCCTGCGCTTCAGTGGACTGGATGGAGTGTATGTTTTCCGTTGAGGGTCTGTTCACAGAAACCAAACAATGGAGGTTGACATCGTTGAACACCGAGCGGTTGATGTCCTCTGTTCGTGTGATGTCTTAGACGGTCGGTCGGTCTCGTTGAAGAAGCACATGGCGTTTGCACGTTGCACATGGCGTGGTGAACCAGACCCGTTTGACCCACAGCCATTTTGTGCCTGTTTGATCCACACCTTTCAGTCAACAGCCACAACCACCACCCAGGTGTGCACGACGAAACGTCCAAGCAATCGGTTTGACGATGCGTAGGGCGCTCGACGAAAAACCGCATATCACGCCTTACAGTCGCGTCTTGCGACGTGTTTTTTTCCAAAGCCTTGTCTTGCTGACTGTGTTTGTTCACTGAATGCTAAGCGCCTTTTTTAAATCTCTGTTTGATTTTGGAACGAGTCAGCCCTTTAGTTTGTTTGGTACTTCTCAAGCACATGCTTTGCTCCTTTGTCTCAAGGCCCATTGCTTTTGGCATTCATAGCTGTAGCTTGTGTGCCAGTTTGTGTTTCAGAGTTTCCAAATTCCTTGGCAAGTTTGCCTTCTTTGTTAAATGTTTCTTTTCTGCTTTTGCCTAGTCTTCTTCGCAGCGTCCAAATCAGATTATCTATGCCCTTGTGTCTCCACTTTCTATGCTTGTGCCTATTGGTGCTTGATCATATGAGCTGCGGCTACTTGCTATTGTGTTGTGATAATGTGTATGTGTATGCCCTGCGTATTTTTTTCAAGCATTATGTCTTCAAGTAATTGTCAGGGCCCCTGTTCCCCCACCCACCCATGTATGAAACCAATACTCTCTGAGTGACTCATGTATGAAACTTGGAGAACTAAACAGTCAATAGCCAGCGATGACAAACATTCATGAAGACACCAACAAAAGGATTGTCTGTGATGCAAACCCTGACGCTGAAACTCTTGCTATTATTCGGTTCAGATGTGGGTTGAGTTTCTGGACAGACCACATGATCGACATGTGAGCTGGTGTTTTCTTGAATTCTTGCGCTGTGTTTGTGTTCATAGAATTCACGGGTAGCTTTTCCACACAGAGTTGTTTGAATGGCCAGATGGTTCTGTGAAGCGACAGTTAAGTAGTTCCCCTCAGCGTAGCAGCGACAGATGGTAGGGAGAGGGAAGCCACCAAGCCCAAACGAAAAGATGGTTCATATTTTGGTTCATGTCATATATCTTGGTTCATATGTCTTGGGTCAGTCCGAACTTACCTGTAGAGCCGTCGGTAAAGAAGAAGAACGCTATTTTATAGAAAGGCCTGGAGCCTAACCCATCATCATCATCCACCGTTGCTGGTAATGGGATAGACCGATAGACCCAACATATATCATTGAAACCTTCATATATCCGGTGAAACCTATGATTCATGAAGAGTTCTTGCGATCAACGCTCGAATGACTCCTGGCCGCTCCGCTCTACTGCGCCGCGCCCCGCCGGACGCCGGGCGGTGCCGAGGCGACGCGAGGCGAGCGAGGCGAGCGGATCTCAGCGTCACCGGTGAAGTCGATCGTGTCGTGTAAGCCAAGAGAGAATTGGGCCATACAACCAAGTGTGGTTTGAAGCCAAGAGCTGGGAAAGAATTGGGTCATGAAGCACACCCAGGGTGCTTTGGGAGGGTTGTTTTCATTTGGGTCATGGAGTCATGGCTCCATCGTGTCGACCTGTCGCCTCGCCCCGAGAGTTTGGACACGTCCGACGTGGTCGAGACACGAGACCGAGAGCCCGGTTTGCCGGTCCGACGCAGCCTGGGATGAATCCACCGGAGTGAGTCCGACCCGACCCACCAAGGGATCAGGAACGCTGTATGATCATAGTCCCCCCCAGAAAAGGATCACGAACGCTGGATGGTTATCGGGTTATCGAACTTCAAACATGAACATGTATTTGATTCGGCCCTATATAGTTTAGAGTAAAAGCCAGAAAGCCATAAAAGCCATAGTACAATTGGACAACCGTGATCGACAGACAGTTCATAAGGATCTAAATGTGCCAGCGCCCTCCAACAGGTCACCAATTGAAACCTGTTAGGGCCTTTCCCAACCCTCCATTTCGGAGACCTGTTGGAGGATGGAAGGAGACACCGGAGTCAGGTGCAGAAAGCTGCGGTGAGTGAAGGGAGTCTTGCCCAAGGGTGAACGGAGTGGGCATCGGGGGTTTGGAATCCTGCACTCTGCATCAATGGACCTGGTGCCCATTTTTGTTCGCTTCTGAAGTTCCAGGTGCGCAGATGCAGGTGCTGGTAAGTGTTGGACCAGGATGTTTGTTTTTCTTTTTTGGTTTCACGGTTTTAGGGTAGCACCCAAAGTTCCCGCATCAACTGTTCATTGCCATACCCTCTTCTGAATTGATGGTACGTTGAGCGTCAACGACGAGCGTCAAACACTCTTTGCCTCAATACAGTGTTCAGTCCAATGGCCCCCCAGCGACGCATTGGGCGACGACCCCGACCCCCTAGCGGCCCTAGCTGGGAGAAGACTCGCCTTCCAGGATAATCTTCTTTTCCTTCAAGCAAAGTACTTGTGAAGCGCTTGTCAGAATCGGACCGGCATCTTCAGTGCTTCGGACAAGCTTCGACCGCCCTCCCGACTCGTTCATGACCGGGGCGACTCGAGACCGACGCGATCATGATGGGTTGGTTGGAGTGGAGGGAGCAGATCGTGTCCCCAAACAACTCGTGAAGAACTTGGGATATGCATCCTAGAACCTGAGTGACCCCTCTTTTGAAGGATCAGCTATCCAAAAGATGGCCCCCTTTCCTCTCAAAAAAGCAGGTCCTCTCAGGCTTCCAGGGATGGATACTGAATGTCTCTTCACCCGGGCTGGGCCCCTTTCCGGCCCTCGGACCCTCGGTCCTCGCGATGGCGTCTCTTGGACTCGCTGAGCCTGAGGACAGCTCTGCTTCTGCAAGCTCTGTACCATTCGGTGGAGGTATGTAAGATGTGGGTGGTTTCAAACCTCAACTCCCAACGACAAACACAAACCGTTTCGGATCTGAAGCCCGGAGCGATCTCCAAACGGCCCAAGGCTCGCGGGCGGCTCCCACCGGTCGTGAGGCGTGGGCATGGGAAGCGGGTCCCGCGTGGCAGGACTGCGCGCCTGTGGGTGGAATGGAAGAACGATGAGCGCTTCAGCTCATGCTGAGTGGGTGTTCATTGTCATGACTCACCAGAAAGTCTCACTTGCTTGTCAGGCTTGTCACACGTATTGGGCTGTGGGCGACCTGGGTCACAGTCACGAAGCGTTCGTCCTCGAAGAAGTGCATGGGCATACACTGTAGATGCCCCGACAGCCCGTTTTCGAGCATTTTTTAAAAAGAGTGCTTGATCTGGTGACATGTCGTGTAAAAACCCTTATGGTAAACCAATGAATTTTGGGACCGAAAGACTTCGACCCTTCAATCAATGGCGGGCCCAAAAGACTTCGTTCGGGACTGTCACGGAGTCGAACGGCACGTCGAACCGCCGGAACCCCGGTGCCTCGACTCCGCTCGACTCCGCGGGAGTCGCAGAGTCCGAGGCTCGCGAGCTCGGCCGAGCTGCGCCTTCCACGAAGTCGAATGAAGCTGAGGCGGGCGTTCGGGGGTCCAACTGGTCGTGAGCACCACGAAGCTGAGCGCTCAGCTCCGAGATCAGAGAGGTCCTTGGGAAAAAGGCGCCTGTAAACTGGAGCCCTGCTTGGAACCGTTTGGACCCGTTTTCTTCGACGAAAAAAGCGGTGGATTCTGGGCGATGTTGGGGACGCACCCGGTCCGCGCACGCCGTGCGTGTGGTATACATGTATATATATATATATACCTAGAACCTGAATGACCTCTATTTTGGATCAACAACCACCCAAAATAAGGTCTTTTCCTATCAAAAAAGAGGTCAAGTGGGTTCTAGGTATATATATACACACATGGAAGTGGATGGCGTTGCCCCTGATAGGAGGATGTTCCACTGCAAGCAGCAACCTTTCACGTCTAACTTGCTTGCTGAAGCCATGTTCTGTTCCACGCCCCTGCTCGCCAGGCGCCTCTGCGCCTGTCTGTCTTCTCACCACGACCAGTCCGGTCTCACCCTGCGGAATCGGTGCCTCGCCTCACGCCTTCCGGAAGAGGCACCGGGAGTCGTGAGGAGTCAGGAAGCTGAAGTTGAAGCGAAGGTCAAGGAGCGGTGACATGAAGGACACTGAAGGTGACATGACACTTGGGCGAAGGTGAAGGTGACATGAAGGTCAGATGAAACGGACTCCTGACTCCTCTCAAGATTCGGGGCGCGTGCGCGTGCGAAGGTCCGAAACGTGGCCATGGCGAAGGCTCTGAAAGCGTTGACATTGAACCGTGGCCGCCCCAGGATCCTTTATAGGATTTCTTTAAGTAGAATTCACAGGAGGTTTGGGAAGTTCGAAGGTAATAGAGTCAGTGCAGACGACTCGGCCTTCCATCTCTGACTGATCTTCACGACCTAGGTGGTACCTGTGATGAGCAAGTGATTGCCTGCTGTCACCGGCCCTTCCGCGCGGTCAGTGCTCGCCGACGGTGCCCGAGTTCAAAATCGCGGCGCCGTCCTGCTTCGTCCTGCTGCGTTGCTCGTGCGCTGTTCGGAGCCTTCCACGAGGTCTGTTTCGAGGTGCACAACGATCCCTCAAAGAGAAGGCGTTGATGTCGAACCGAAAGCGCCCGAGACCTCGTCTGGCTGGTTTCAGGGTCCCGGAAAGCCATCCTCTTCCTTTTGCCCCGAGCCACCGATCGACAGAAGCCAAAACGGGATCCCACCGAGCCGAGCCGAGCCGAGCCGACGCTGCTCGTGTCCTGCAGACCACGGCTTTTTGGGCTCGGATCTGGCGTGAGCTCGACGCTCGGCCTGGCCATGCGCCCGTGCCCATGGCAATATGAGCCGTTGAACATTGAGGATCCTGATGATGTAGCGCCACAGAAGGACACAAAGGCGTGGAAAAGATCAAAGGAATCCTGGTTTTGCTGCAAGTCTCTCTTTGTCTCTCCCCTTTTTGGCTGTTTCACCCCCCTTCTGAGAGTTTTGTTTAATCGGACTGATGGGGACGACGGATGGACGCGCTCTCTCGTGTCAAACGGATCTCCTTGGCCTCCAAGGAATGCTTCACCACGGCGCCTCGACGCGACGACCCGAGCGGAACCCGTCCAACGCGGGGCGGAACTCGCGGTGATGGGTTTGGCGCGCGCTTCGGGCGTCGGAGGGAGCAAGGGTTCGGCTTCCGGCCGCCGGGGGGTGCTTTTTGGGGATTTTGGGGCTTGTCCTGGTGGGAGCGCAGGGAACCGGAGCCCTGGTGGGGCCCTGGTGGAGCCAATCTGAGGTTCTGTGCCTCGTGGACTTTGTCAGCGACGTCCTGGCTTCGCAAGCAAATGCACACTCGAGTCATGGCCTAGTGAAGAAATTGGGCTACTTTGGTGCAGCTTTGCTCTTGGTCTCCGTGATTGTGAACACCTGTGTGGTGTGGAGGGTGTGTAGCGATTTTGCTGTGTGGAAGCGCCTCACAAGCAAGGCTCCAGTGGCATCGCAATGCTTTCGGCTGTTGGCTAGTACCAATCCCGAGGTCTTGCTATCGTTCTTTGCCCTGATGTTAGACGGGTCTTTTGAGGACGAGCAAGTTCTCCTCGCGGGGAGGAGTGTGAAGAAATGGGGCCTTTTGTCCCAGTTGTTTGAAGATGTGCCCCAATTCGGGGTTCAAGCGGCATCTCTGACGATTTCTTGGATCAACGGATGGCCTGTGACCATGCCCGTGGTCTTATCCGTATGTTTCACCCTCGTGATGCTCTTCCTCAAGGTCATCACGAACAGCCTGGTGCTTCCCTTAGCCCTGGAAAAACTAGTTTTCAACAGAGATTCCATTCCTGTCCTGGAAGTGGCCACGCCCACCGCAGACTTGGTGTGAAGCTTTTAGCAACAAATCAGACATACGAACCGCCCATTTACACATTCATTGAACCGGTTGGATAAAAGAAGAGTTTTCCTCTCCTTCTGCTGGAGGCAGGAGTCCTCTGCACCATGCTTTACTGCTTCCCCCCCAAAGAACTCGGACCGTGCGCTCGACCACGCTCCACTGGAGGTCCTGGTTCTCCGCACGGACTTCCAGAATGCCACGCTGGAACGAGCTGCCATGGGCCGTGCGGTGGCCGTTTGCCCGAGGCCGGATCACGCGTTACACCTCGTCTTACAGGCCGGAGGGCGGGCCTGGGTGAGGGCGGGTTGGTTCCGCCGAGCGGGTGGGTTCGGCGGCTTCGGTGGTTTGGGTGGCTTTGGTGGAGTTGCGAGTCAGGGGATCTAGTGAATCCAGTATCTATGTTGCCATGGCCCATATCTTTCGATGAAATGAGAGGGTCAACACCTCTAGATATTGGGGAACAGAGGTGAACTATTCCTTGCCTTGCTTTGTGTGTAGTTCACTTGGCTGTGAGGCCGCGCTTGCCTCGGGCAACGTGGTCTTCCTGCGCTTCGCAGGCCCTATTCCACTGCCAGACTGCCCTGTGACGGGTCAAGATCTGGGTATCATGACTTTGTTGGTCTCCTACTTGATCGGTGTCCTGGATGGTTTGATCCATTGATTTTCATTTTTGTGCAGTGCTGAGTAAACTCCGGCGGGATTTTTGTTGGAGCTTCTTCTTCCCAAACGAGGGAGATTTCCGACTGCCTTTCAGGGGTCTTTCTGGTCCTGGCTTTGGCCTACAGCTTCCGTGAACGCTTGTGGCACTGCATTTTGCAGTTGGAGCTCTCAGCGCTTCTGATGGCCATCGCCACGGTGCACCCGGTCAGCTTGCTGCAGATTGACCCTGGCCTGCCCAAGGCAGATTGGTGATTGGGGCCTCACATTTTCGGCCAGACGCAAGAGGATTTGGGAATTTTAAGCTTTCGGTAGTGCATAGACTCCCAGAACCATTTTGTGGGCTTGCATGGAACTTGGTGAGGCGGTCGATTGGAAGCCTTCTTTGGGGAGGGGTCTTTTGGAAGCCGCCCGATGCTCATACCAATCCATGCGTTGATCCAGATCCGCAGGTTCAGTCGAGTGAGGCTCGTCGTTGCCACGCCACACGGCCGTCGGAAACCCGAGCTTCCACAGGAAGCTGGCTGCTGTTGGACGGGCTTCTTAGTGCTGGGACCCCTTCTGCGATGCTTGGCCATGGCGAGCCTCGCGGCTTGGGGGGTTTGGCGGAGTGACTTTCCGGTGCCGGAGAACGCGTGCATCGCGCTTTTGGTGGGCAATGTCCTGGGCATCCTGCAGTTGATTATCTTCCTGGATGAAGCAAAGGTGCCTCAAGTTTCGCGCCTTTCCTGTTTCGTGCTCCGAAGTTTCAACACCTCGATGGTCGCAGTTGGTTCTGAATGCCTTCGGTGTTTTCAATAAAAGTCACTGATGTCATCAGAACACCTTGGTGGTTCACTTCAAATCATCAGAAAGGGTCCCTCTTTCTCACACCCAAGAGTCGCCGGTTTGGTGGTCTGGTCACGTCCGCTCGACCAGCCCCGGTCAGCCGGTGTCAGCGAGCTTAGCGGTCAGCGAAGCAAGCTTCGGTCGTCAGGGCGAGGCCCATCAGGAGGTGAAAACCTTCAAGGACCTTGAAGATCTGGAGCGAGAGCAGCAAGAGGACGGGTGACAAGACCAAACAGGACCAAACAGACCAAACACCAGCCTTTTGGAACTGTTCCTGTTCCAAGTCTGCCGTATGGAGATTCCAAGGCAGACTTCGACTTGGTGTTGCGGACACCCACCTTGTTCTCGTTTGGCTGGCACCCGTGGAAGCGGATGCCGACCTGGTTTTGAGGTCGGACTCCTGAAGACTCGATTGGGAGACCTTTGTCCCCTCTGCAGAGGCCAACCCTATTGAGAATATTGATCCGTTCAAGAGAGAAGCAACCGAGAATCAACCGAGAAGATTGAGAAGATCGACCGAACGCGCCCTGAGAATGGATCCATATTGATCCGCGCTTTCCGAAGCGGCGGGGTTTCCAGGTCGTCTCTCTGCCGGTGGGGGCAGTGTGGACTTCCAGAGCCGCGCGGGCTGGGTCGACGTAGATGATGGAGTTGATACAGATGTTTAAAACACAGAAAGTCTGACCTAGCCTGCAACTGGTAGGCTTGAAGGAGGACCAAGAATGCATGTCATAGTATAGCGCATTATAGCGCCATTGATGCACAAATACTATTCTATGAGGTGCCTTCAGAAATAAATCAGGCCCCCATTTTTCCACAGAGCACGGTAGCGGAGAGGAAGCGGTTCGGGTTTCGCTGCTGTTTGGGGTTTTCCACGCTGTTGCTTGGAAGACGGCACCTGGCACCTGACCTGCTGTTTCGCTGCCTTCGTGCCGGCCGTGCGGCCGTGCTGCAGGAGGTGAATGAACTCCTTGCGCAGCTTCATAGCTGTTCAAGACTGCGAGATCTTCCCGACGTGCTGAGTTGCTGGGAGGACCTGGCGGTGTTGCGACCCCTCGACCGGCGCATCGATGTGGCGTACCAGTTGAACGAGGCGAGGTGGGGGGGAAGGTTGGGGAAGGTCGGGTGGAGCCCGGCGAAAGGGGAGGAGTCTGGCCCTCCCACGCCGAAAGCATTCTTTAAATCAAAGCGCCGCTCAACGAGATTACTTGCCCTAAACCTCGAGGAGGGTGAGGGCAAGTTAGAAATGTTTCTTCTTTGGGTTGCTCGGGATTGTCACGCGGTGCGGGATCTTCTTGACATTTCTTGACGACAGAGAACCAGAGATACCGCGCGAGATGACGAGACCAATTGAGTGACCAAAGGGGTCTCCCCATTCCTTTACTTAAGGTGTGACAGATGGTGTGAAAAATGGTCACTCCCGAATCGACCGAGAAGTAATTTCTACCAACTTTTGGATGGTCCATGGCATGTGCAGTGCCCACCAGATCACGTTTGAAACCGTTTTGGATTTGAGTCAGTGATTTGTAATGTCAGCCGATAGCCTTCGCTCAATCGCAAGAGACTTTGGCCAAAGGCATTCGGAACGGGGCCTGCTTAGTGGTGGATGGCCTTGTCGTTTTAGACCAAAAAAAGTTCCGAGTCATTCACGAATCCACGATGCTCGCATCCAACACCAAGCTAGGTTGAGGATGAATGTCACAAAATGTCACTATAGAAGTACGTGCATACGGCATACTACGTTCGACGTTTGTTTTAGATGCTTTTATCTCGCAATGAGTGCAGTAGACACGCGCGGTTTAAGACTATGATCTATATTCTTAGAGCTTTGGATCCAATGTCGATGAACACCTTCGTCTTGACTCCTTTCCACTAAGAGTGGATGCCCCGCGGGCCTGCTCTTCCTGAACGTGTGGATGAACACTGATAAATCCAGGGTGATATCCTTGTGTTTCGACCCGGGCTTGAAACTACGTTTTTACACTGGCATGTGGCAGTCAATGAGATGTGCAAGATCATGGGCTTCCCTGCTTAATGATGAAGAGAACAGGACACGCAGGAGTTCCATGTTGCGCCTACACACGATTTCCAGGGGCGTCGACAGTTTTGGAGTCTCTAATGCGTTGGTGACTTTTGCACGGTTGGATCGGTTTGTTTTGGCAGACATGCAGCAGTGCCCCAAAGAAAGGTGCCTTTGGGAGGTGTGACACGGTTGGGTCATCGACATCTGCGCGTCCGTTCCCCAAGACCTGACGCGCCTGACGCGCCTTCCCACGCTTGCCCGCCGACGCTTCGCATGTTTGGCGAGGCCTTCAACAAGAACAAGAGCTTCGAGGCCAGGGCAGCGGTGATCTATTCGCTGGACGCCGCGTGGGAGTGGAAGATGTACGCGGAAGCGAAGCAGATCAAGGCGCGTGGCTCGGGCCAGTGCGGGTCTTCGACTCTGCTTCGACTCGGGCGGGCCAGTCGGGTCTTCAGGAACGAAGGTTGAAGGGATGTGTTATAATTTTCTTGTGAGGTGAAGGATTTGTGAGATTGCTGGAGAGCTCAGATCCGAGCACGACTGCTAGACTGTTTTGTTTTCCCATCACCGTCGTCGCAATGAACCTAGGAGACTTTCCTACATGTAGGAAATGCCACTGATTCACTGGAGGGATAAGATTTGATTTCCAAGGTCAACATGTTCCACCTTTTCACGCAAGCGACAAGTTGCAGGGTCCCGTGGCCTGTGGCACTCCTGCCCAGCTGTTTCGATGCGATTCTTACGGTCCTGTATAGGCTTTTGTGTGGGGTCCTTGGTCAATGACAGGGGTTGGGATCTGGTGAGAATCACCAGCAACCTTAGGACCACCGAACGGTGTAGCCTGGAAAATGCCAGGAGTCACATGGAGGGCCTGGGTGGTATTTTAGTCCCATCCAGTGAGTGCATAATTTGCACTCCTTTGTGACTCCTAAATTTGCTACATTTTCTTGTGTTGGGCTTTTCAATGCGACTTGGGGATCCTCAGTTACAGGTCCTCCTCCCAAAGGCATGTAAGTCATACCAATTGACAACCCGGCGAAGCCCCTTGCTCAATTTGTCTTGATTCTACTCTCTTCCCTCAAGTGGTGTCCAAACCTGTTCGCCAGCCATGTGGGGCCAATGCCCGCGCTGTGACCTGTGTGTTTGGGTTTGGCAGGAGGATCAGGAAGAGGCTCGCCAGTGTTGGCCTCTCAGTATGGGGCACAGTGGGGTGCACATAGCCCATCAGATGAACATTTGCCAGTGGTTGCATAAAGGCTGCAAGAGTGAAGAAAGTGAAATCTGTGTGCAGTGTGGATTGTCATCGTTTGTCCAAGAGCTTCGAGGTGCGCATGCTCTCATGAGCATGGGTTTGGAGGACCTGCCCAGGATAATCCCCCATCAACATTCACCTCGCAAAAATGGAGCCGAACTCTGCCTGCCGACCATTCCATTCAGTCGCGGTCCTCTTCAGTCCAAGATGTCGTTTCCAAGTGCTGCCCAATTCGCCCGAGGCCTTGGCATCGTGGAAGCCGCCCGCACCGGGCGTGCCGGTGCCGTTCGACACTTTCTTGGAGAGAACCCCCGCCTGCTGGAGGAGAAAGATGCTTCGAGCCGCAGCCCGGGGGCCCAGCTTTTGAAGGTCTTTTAACTGGTGACTGGGTGGTTGCTTGATAGATAGAGGGGAGAACAACCAATGGGTTTTGGCACTGGGCACCGACCCCTCACAAGAAGTTTCCTGGGGTGGTCATGGGTTCAAGGATGGTCGAGGCTGTCGAGAGAACTTGACCCAGCGACCCGTCGCTGGATGGATGGTTGACCACATCTCCAGCCCTCCGTGTTTACCCTTCGTGGACGTTCCGAGCTGCTGCCTGTCTGGTCCTCGGAACGTCGCCTTCCCAGGGAGGGTACACCCCTTTGCAGAGGATCCCCATGATCCCATGAGCCCAACCACTGCTTGGTAGAGGAAAACCATTGTTCTCCAGCAACCCAACGAGCCAGTTGGGTCAACGGGTGAGTTTGAAAGGGAGTGTATCCATCAACGGTCACGACCGAACCCGAGGCGATAGCCTGCTGCATCTGGCCGCCCGGGAGGGCCACGCTGCCACGGTGGAGGTCTTGCTGGAGAAAGGAATTGAGTTTGAAAAGAACAATGAAGGCGTCTGGGCTGTGGATCTGAACGTTTGGATTCTGTGCTGCTCCCATCTTCAAGACTGGTTGAAACAAGTTCCCTCATGTGGATGGAGGTGGGAGTTCTTCAAATCAGGAGGTGGTGGTCGAAAGGGATCTTTTTGCTTGGCTTCAGGATGGTTCGGACGGTCGCAGTGTGGCTTCAGGCTGCCTAGGACCAAATGATGCTTTCAGAACCTGAGCGCAGGGGTCATACCTTTACTTTCTCATCCTTTCTCCCAGCACCTCCAACAGGTCACCAATTGAAACCTGTTAGGGCCTAACAACCCTCCAAAGGAGACCTGTTGGAAGGTGCTGGTCTGCTTCTTCCGAAAATTGCCTTTCTCCGCTTTCAGCCATCCAGGTAACACCGCCTTGCACCTTGCGGTGTCTGGAAATCATGCTAGCACCGTGCGGGTGCTGCGAGATGACTTGCACATCAGCGATGCACTGCTCCTAAACGAAGCCGGCTGGGGCCCTGGGGGAGTTGCTTTTTTGGGAGGCTTGCCACTTCGCAGTTGGTTTGCGGGTTTTGGAATGGGCTGATCAACGTCGATCGTCATGGTTTCCATGCTCGGCGTCGTTGTTCTTCTCGGTTGGCTGACCATGTGGGTTCCTGCTCGTTCCGCCTCCGTCCTCGCTTCCGCCGCGCCTAGGTGACGGTGCTGTGCACCTGGCGGCCTGCAAGGGGCACTGGGAGACCATCGAGGCCCTCCAGCTTGAGACACATCAGATCCGCTTGCAGCTTAATCGCGATGGCCTGGGTTCCCCAGCGGGGGGATGACAGGATGAGGACAGGATGCAGGCAGGTTTGGAGAAGGCAGATGGAGATTCGGACCTTCGCAGATGGGTTCATCACTCAAGTTTGGCAACCTTCACAGAGAACTCAGCATGTTGAGGCCTTTGAGTGCACGTTTGAGGCCTCTTCGAAGGCTCCCAGCTTCCCCAGACGTCTCAGCATCGTCTCATTGAAACTTCTGAGTGTGCAGAGTCTGAACGTCTTGTCCCCCCACTCTGTGCCTTCAGACATTCAGTTTTTCTCTCTGCACGGCGCTCAGGTGACAGACCATTGGCGCTGGCTGCCTGGTATGGCCATGACAAAATAGTGGAGCTCCTGATCTCTTTGGGTAAGGATGAGGATGAGGAGGAGGAGGATGAGCTCGATCACAAAGACGCAAACCGTGGAAGCCTCAGGGTGCTCAGAGGTGTACTGATCGGTGATGGGCGGAGAGGTTTTCACCAAGGCGTTTGGTGCTTCATACGGCTGGGTGAGGTTGCAGACGGTTGTTCGCGGACCGTACTTGCGCTCGTATGGGGTTTAGCTCACCATACTAGCAGATGCTGGGTTTTGTAGCCGACGAAGTCGCAGGAGTTTTGGAGTATATTGCACTGGCCCTCCTTTTCCGGTACGAAATTGAGAAGAAGTGGACTATGAACTCCTTCAAAGGGCGACAGAGGTCATATATGTAACATGTACAGTCTTGAAATGCTTTCAAACTCTTCCACTTTTTGGGGTCTGAACATATAGGGTGGAAGAGAACACGCCGATTTCGGCGATTTCGGCTCGCCGGGCCGCTTCGGAACTTGCAGATCGGTGGCCGCTGGCCTTTGGGGGGTGCGTGGGGTTTTCAGAAACGATCAATGTATTCTTAGCCCGGCAGTTTGGTTTCATCGGTGCCGAGGCTATACTGCATTGCACTTGGCAGCCCAAGAAGGCCACAACGATGTTGTGAAGCACCTGCTCAAAGCTCGGGCATCGATTCGACAGAGAAATGATGAAGGCCTGGGCCGCACGTTGGTCGAGTGGTCAGTTTTCAGGGTCAAGCTCCTGGGTTGCCGCGGCCGGGCGTTCTCGAGGTCCGTTCATCGCCCCGTGCCGCATACGGCCGGGCTTGACCGAGCATTGGCCGTCGACGATTTGACCGTTTTTTTTTTTTCGCCGTCGGCATTCACTGTCCAAAGACAAGGGTGCTTTCAAGAAGAAATGGATTTGGTGGCAAGTTTGCAACGTCCCAAATCGTGGCATCGTTTCTTGACCGTTGTTCTGGAGACAAGGCAGCTTCTGCGCACGCCGCACGCACTGAGGTCAAGAGCCACTGCACCTTGCGGCCTGGTGCGGTCGCACGGAGACGGTGAATCACTTGGTGTTTACGGCCAAGGCAGACCTGAGCTGCAGAGACGAACATCGCCAACGCCTCAGCTTGGATTTGGGTTGGCTTCGGGCGTGACTATCTACTTTGAGCCTAGTGCAGCTTCCCCCAAGTGGCAGAACTATTGGGGACGGGTCGCATGGTGTTTTCCCTAGGGCTTTTTGGTTTCTCAGGTACCTGTTGTAGATTCATAGGTTCTTTGTTTTCCGGCTTTCTGGGTTTCCTTTGGCTTCTGTGTTCCCCTTCATTTCTCCTGAGTAGCGCCAAGCCCACATCTGAACTGTCCCAAGCCATGCGAGCCAAGCCCCACCCTGAGAGCACCTACCACAAAGTTGTTCCGGACCAAAGCGAACAAACACTGATAAACTCTAAAGATGCCAAAGACATCCAAAGGCAAAGTTAAAAGTAAAACAAAAACGCTCAAGAAAGGCCAAGACAAAGATCCAGCAGACTGGGAGTCCTCGCGCGGCTCCAGGTCGGTGCCCATTGGCGCTTGCAGCGTGGGAAGGCCACAGCGAGGTGGTGAAGCTCCTCGTCGACGCCCAAGCGGAAGTGAATGACCAAGACAAGGATGGCTGGGACCTCAGTCAGTCTCCAGTGCAGATTTCATGTGCATGGCCACACTGTGATGAAGTGGGCCGTGTCTTGCATAGGTGAGCTGAAACCAACGGTAGGTAGCTATTTTTTTTGTCTTACGTGGGTCGTCAACATTTTCAAGGGAATGGATACCACAGTTCCCTGCGCAATCAGGAAGCGGTTTCGACTTGCAATGCAGGCACAAGTCTAGTCCAATTTGCAGTGGCTGTGGCTTGTAGCGGGGGTTGTGTTTCTTGCTCTTTGCTTTTCTGGTTTCTCACGCCCGTCAGCCAGCCTGGTTCTGAGGTGACACTGCATTGCACCTGGCAGCCATGAGTGGCCACAACGATGTTGTGAAGTTCCTGGTCGACGCCGACGTGTTAAGAATGAAGAATGAAGGTGGCAGGGAGCCTCAGAGTGGAGGTCTGTGGTGGGGGGAGGGTGGGGCCACCAAGCTGGAATATTCTTTTGGGGAGATGTGTGAATTTGGACCTCCGTTTGCTTACTTGCTCAGGCAAACAGGATATAGGTATTTTTTCAGAAAACAAAGTTATGCGGGTGTGGTCTTTACGCGTTTTTGTGGTCAGTGTGGTTTTCAGCGTTTTTTGAAAAGGTTGGTTGTTTTGAAGAACGTGTCTAGCAAAAATGTCAACTTGTAATCTGTCAGATCTCTCATCAAGCTTTTGCAAAAATACTAGCTCTCATGATTCCCACGCAGAAGTCCATCAACTATCATCTATCAGCAAGTCCACGACATCACATCATACATCATCAGGTCATCTCCTCTATGAGGGGAATCTAGTCTCCAAGACCTCCAATCTCAATGAATCCTCAATCTCCAGCAGCTGGGCCTGGGCCCGGGCTTCTCCCCGGGGGGGGGGGCGCCAAAAAAAACATTGGTTGCCCAATCCCACGAGCAATTTGTTTTTTCATTTTTTTCGCCTTCCCCCCTCCCGGGGAGGAGCCCGGCAGGCCCAGTTGCTGGAGATTGAGGACTCATTGAGGTTGGAGGTCTTGGAGATAAGATCCCCCTTATAGAGGTGATGATCTGATGATGTATGATGTGATGTCCTGAACTTGCTTATAGATGATGGTTGATGGACTTCTGCGTGGGAATCATGAGAGCTAGCAGCTAGTATTCTTGCAAAAGCTTGATGAGAGATCTGACAGATCAGAGCCATGCCAATTGGATCATTGCCTATCAGAACATGGAGAAGGAATGGGGATTCAGGCTCTATGTGGTGAGGGCGAATACCTATACTGTATGGTCTCAATGGTGGAGTGTGGAAGGGTGTCTTGATTTGATGGCTTAAGATATCCAATGAAAGAGAGAGAGAGAGAGATGGGCATATAGTTAGAGAGCATAGGAGAATGGAACTTGCAATGTGGATGAAATGAGTTGAGTTGAGGTGAGATGAGATGAGATGAAGCATTGGGTGCACCAAACAACTGGCATTGGGGTTGTGGCTGTATGTATGCAATTTCATCTGAGACCAAAGGCGGCTGCATAGACGCATCGCCTGGGCATGAGAGATTGGGATCCTGACTTTGAGCAAATTGTATTGCTATACAAGCCATTGAGCAAATGCCCCAGACAGCAGCGCAATATGGATGGTGCTTCGATTGGGTTTGTTTGGTTTCAAGAGCACATGGGCACCATGTGAGAGGGAAACTTGCTAGGCAATCAATGAGGATAGGGTCCATGGAACGCCTGGTGCAAATGGGTTTGTGTGCATGGTTAGGTGGCCCAATGGAAGATCAGAACCATTTGGGTACAACATTGGTTGATCCTCATGATTCATGCTATTGGTAGAGCATATTTTTGGCACAAATTATTGGTTTACTTTTGGGTGGGTGTTGGTGAGGTCCAATGAGGTTTTGAGCTTGGGTGGCATCACGAGAAAGAATGTCCTTGGCCATGTTGGGTGAACATTGGGAGCATGCTGAGCATGCCAGGTTTGGTACAACCTGACTTCATGTATGTCTATGTGTGGGCAAGAAGGTTGGGGTGAAGAGAAGGTTCTTCATGAGCTTGGGAATGAGTAGTGGCCACACAGCCAATCGATGGAGGGATATGGAGCATAGACCACAGTGGAGATGAGCAGGCTTGGTCTAATCGAACTTGTGGGATGGGATGTGAACTCCCAATGCTCGCAGAATGGTTCCTTATGACCCTGAGAATGAGGATGAGGCTTATTATGGGTATGGGCGTCAAGAAGGCCATGCAAAGCCCAATTCCAATCAGTCATCCAGGTCCAGTACTACTAAGCAAGTTTCTCAACTTTTGTTGGGCCTGGTGGGCACATTGTGTTTCAAGAAAATGATCTTCTCTCCATGTCATAAAGAATGTGGAGGGAGAAGCCCAAAAAGTGCTACCTTTGCAATAATGAGAATGCTTATGGGCAAGGAAGGGTAGAGTCGGATCCAGAGGTTTAAAGAAAAGTTGGTTTGTTTGGGAAACAGGAGCACAAGAACATATCTAGACCGCAACCGTGGAAACTCTTTCAAAACATGACAAAATCTAAGAAAA